TGGATTTTCCGTCTGTGTTTGGTTTTACATAGAAGAAAAAACTGTTTGGTCTTACAAAGAAAGACAGTAGTGTGATCTTATTGAGAGAAGTGGTCTGGTTTTATATAGAAATAAATGCTTTGGTTTTATATAGAAAGAAGTGGACTAGAAAAAATAATCTGGTCTCATATGGAAAGGAATGGCTTGGTCTTACATAGAAATAATTAGTCTGGTCCTATATAGAAAAAAGTGGTTTGGTCTTATATAGATTGAATTATTGGTCACACATAGAAACAAAGGGTCTTAAGTAAACCGAAACAGTCTTTTGTCTTAAATAAAAAGGCTTATACAAAAAGAAATGACACAGTCAGACACAGAAAGAAATGGTCTGGTCTTATATATAAAAAAAAATGTCATGTCACATAGAAAGAAATGGTTTGTTCCTATATAGAATAAAATGATGTGGTCCTTCATAGAAATAAAGGGTCCTAAATAAACAGAGCAGCCAAATAGTACCTGTTCTGTGAGGGTCCATGGGCATCCTGACCACTGAAGAACAGGGTAAAAGGAGGTGGTCATAATGTTATGTCTGATCAGTGTATACAGAAAGTATTAGTCTGGCCACATATAGAAAAAATGGTTTGCATCCATTTCCAACTGCCATGATGCCTTGCTAGACTTCGTTTCCACAGTTTAAATGTTCAGTGCTGATTATAATGGTGCACTGTGTGTAAAATACTCTACAGTAAATAATGTAGTTAATAAATATAATACTTTTATGTAATCAGTAGACGGTTCACGTTTTCAGCCCGAGGCCTCACTCTATCCCCCCGACAGAAACGACTTGGTGACTTGCCAGTAAATGAGCCACTTGGACTAAGTACTTTAGGGGTCAGTAAATGTGTCTCCAAAAAAACATCTAACCCTCTGACACACCCACAATGGCCATCCATTCCACAACTTGACACAATCACTTTTTTGTAACCATATTCAAAACAATGATGGCGTTATCATCTTAAAGCACACAATGGACAAGGCTTTCGGCTCTGAATCTGAATGAGATATCTCAATCAAAGCAATTTGGAATATTGAATTTCGGCTACATAATGACAACGTCTATGAGTCTGGCTTCACACAAAGAGAGCGCAGAGCCCAGCCCCATCCTGGTACATCCAGACTGATTTAATTAGAGATGAGGCACTATAAGGAGATGAAGCTGGCAGCAGAATCCTGAATGCCAGCTCATTCCCATTCGTCCTCCTCTATCCCTCCCACTGCCGGAGCCAACATGCAAACCCATACATACGCACATCACGGACATGATTATCCTCACTGCACAGCTCTAATGATGTCATTTACGGTTCTGTGGGGGCAGAGTTTAGGAGTGGGAAATATGATGTTGTCATTATAGAAATAAATTACGTCACAGTGCATTATTCTGAATATATTAATGGATATCTTTTTAGCATTTCTAGACTGGTTCTCAGCCTGTTAGGCCATTTTCTTATTTTGTGATTTTTTTTTTTTTCTATGCACATTATTCATAAATAAATAAATAAATACATATATTCATACATATATATATATATATATATATATATATATCACTGTATTCATCGTTTGTCCAAGCCTGTTTTTTTTTAAGCGGTTTTACTTTTCTGATTGTGCATTTGTTGGTGTTGACTTGCTCACAAACCTCTTAAAAAAAAAAATACAAATGTGTATTAAAAAAAAGGCTTAAAAAAATTCTTGATCTTTTATTTGTGCCGTATTGTTTGCTGCGGCAGATCCATGGGTGGCGCCACAGGCACACTGGTCCCAGCAAAAATCTGATTGGCTCCTTAAGTGCCCCTTTGCTGTCACTCACCACCTCTGAGACTGTTAATATGCAAACTCCCCTCTTCGTGGTATCTGCCGTTTTGAATGATGACTCACATGAAAGTTTTTATTTTAGATTCCTGCTGTCAACAAGGAAAATTCTGAAAAATATTCCCCCTTTCCAAGCAGATTTTTGTCACTTATATACAAAAAAGTTGGTAATATGGAAATAAAAACAGAAAGCAGTGAATTATAAACTGTCTTTTTATTTAACAATTTACTTAACTGTTTATTTAACTAAAAACAGCATAAACAAATCGAAATTTACTATTTTATTCTGTTTATTGATTTTTGCCAATGTATGCTGATGCCTGTAATGTATCATTGGGATGGATCAGTGTAAGATTGGGATGTTTGTGAAATGATCACGAACACCTGTTCTGGAACTTTCCTCAGGTGATGCTATCATGATTGGGTATAAAAGAAGGACTCAAAAAAAAAACTCTGTCGTCTCTTTATGAAAAACTGTGAGCAAATAGTACAAGTTTAAGTTTACAAGTTTAATAGTACAGTTTAAGAACAACGTTTCTTAACACACGATTGCAAGGAATGCTGTTATGGATCTACAGTCCATAACCTTATTAAAGGATACAGAGAATCTGGAGAAATCGCGGTGCATAAGGCCAAAAACCATTATTGAATGCCTGTGACCTTTGATCCCTCCCTCGATATAATGAACCACATGGGCTTGGAAAAACTTCAGAAATCCCTTGTGAGTAAACACACAGTCACATCACATCCACAAATGCAAGTTAAGACTACATAGAGCGGAAGCCAAATATCAACAACATCCAGAAACGCTGCCAACTTCTCTGGGCTAAAGCTCATCTGAGATGAGCTAATGCAGAGTGGAAACGTGCTGTGGTCTGACCAGTCGACCTTTTAAATTGTTTTTGGAAATAATGGACATCATGTAGATGTGATGTAAATTTCACTTTCACAACTACAACAATGGTCCTCAGTGTCCAAATGATTACTGAACATTGTTAACAGGAAAGGTGTTGTAACATAGTGATAAACATGCCACTGTCCCAACTTGGAACATTTTACAGGCATCAAAATTAGAATAGGTGTGTATATATACACAAAAAAATAATTAATTAAAAGATATAAAAAATCACTGCTGTCTGTTTTTATTAACATTTTAGCTACTGTTCCACATTTTTTGGATTTAGGTTTATACTATTTCATTTTATGACTTATAAAATTTCACAAATTGAGGAAGGAATGAAGACTTACTGGTAGGGCTGTGATAACATTAACTAGGCTAACGTTACTGGAATTCAGTGCCTTAATGGTTCTGATTAATAGAACATTTCAATTTCATGCACATGAAATTATCTTTGCAAACAACACAACCAACTGCTGCTTTGTTTTTGTCTAAAAATGAATATTCTATGACATTTTAATGAACTGTCATAACCGCTATAAGAGCTAAGTATCCATGTATGAATCATGTTACAAGCGGCAATCATGGGGGTCCAAGAATGCTGGTGCCAGTAAAAACCTTTGAGCAGATGGAAAAAGGTTTTGTTTTCTGTTCTCAATTTAGAGTAATTGTTGAACAGGGTTCTCAAAAGGAGATGTAATCTCCCATAAGCTCTGACCTTCTGACCTTGGTATGTTATGTAACAGGTTTTTAATAAATAAGTCAGAATACCTGGACAGGTTTTGACAGGATTTACTGGCATATTTGTTGAACTCAATAATCTAAAGAATTCTACATCAATTACTCAAATCCCTCTTCAGTCAACCACACGTAAAAAAGGATGGGTTTATGTAGAACCATGAACACCCAAAGAACCCTTTGCTTCACAAAAGTGTTCTTCAGATTGATGGAGAATGTGCTGTAGACGGTTCTATATAGTGTCAAAAAGGGTTCTTCTATTGTAACAAGCTTGACACCATAACAATAGAAGAACTCTTTTTGGTGCTATAAAGAACCCTTTTCAAAAGGTTCTAAATAGAACCATCTACAGCACATTCTCCATCAATCTGAAGAACCCTTTCGCAGTGCACAGAACCATTTAATCATGCAATGTTTGAATGAATGTTCATGTTTCTCAACAGAACCCGTTTCAAAAGGTTCTAAATAGAACCATCTACAGCACATTCTCCATCAATCTGAGGAACCCTTTCGCAGTTCACAGAACCCTTTAATCATGCAATGTTTGAATGAATGTTCATGTTTCTAAACAGAACCCTTTTCAAAAGGTTCTAAATAGAACCATCTACAGCACATTCTCCATCGATCTGAAGAACATTTTTGCAGTACAAAGAACCATTTAAACCTGCAAAGGGCTCTTTGAATGTTCATGGTTCTATATAGAACCATTTTCTTTACTAAAGAACCCTTGAAGAACCATCTTTTTGTGTATGCAAAAGTTTGGGCACCCCTGGTCAAATGACATGTTTTGTTTATAGATAGCTTATACACATTCTACAAGGTAAAATAACTAAAATTAATGCACAATTTCGATTTATCTGCTAAGTTTAACAACTGAAGGAAGAGTGTCTTGGACTGGCCGACCCCTGGTCAGTATAGCACCCACTTCAAATGTTTCAGTAGCCCTGTAGAACAAAATAATCCTGTGCCAACCCCGGCCTTGTGACCAGATGTTTCACTATGTCTGCAACGAATGTAAAGGACACTGGATAATATGTGGAATGAGCTGTATCAGTAGTGAGGCTGATGCTTAATAAAGAATTCTCTTTGTAACATATGTGTTTAGAGATGTTGAGATAATTATGGAGTTCTTTGATTTTTGAGGCATTATTATGGTTCCTTTGAAGCTTTGGTCTTTTTTCAGCCCCACAGTTGTCCACTCAATAGAGACCAAGTTATAATAGCCTTTTGACTCTACATAGACAAGTTTACGAGTTTAAATCCGGGGTTCCAAGTGTTGATTTCATGCACAGCCTCTAGACCAGGGGCGCACAACTCCGGTCCTGGAGGGCTGGTGTCCAGCACAGTTTGGTGATTTACCTTATCAACACACCTGATTACACTTATCTGATAATTGCCAGGTTAAGTGGGTGTGTTTAAGCAGGGAAACCTCCAAACTGTGCTGGACACTGGCCCTCCAGGACCGGCTCTAGACACTGCAGGTGTAAACATACTGCCCACAGCAGTGGAATAAGAGCTCCACTCCTGCTGTATATCTGCGTTCCAGACTTTGTGCCAAGTCCAGCGTTTCTGTGAAGCGCTGGGAATAAAACTGGTACACCTGTTCAGGTCGTCAAGGCTGCACGACAATTCCTCTCTGCAAATAAACGTGGAAAAAAAAAGAAGCAGAGCGCAGCCGTCCTTCAACGGCGCTGCGTCACCGCTCAAGGTTTCGGACGCAGCGCGCCTCCTCCTCGCCCGAGAGATATAAAAGCGCGCGCGCTCCAGCTTCTCCAACCCTGAGCGTCTTCAGACGGAGAGTGCAGCCTCCTCCTTCTCCTCCTTCTCCTCCTCCATTGCCCGCGGCTCTCTCTGCTTCTCTTTCAGACTTTTAATCCAAACACATGCGCGCCAGATGCGTCTGGAGCGCAGTCTGCTGACCGGTCGCTCAGCTTGCTGACGAACTGGACGAAGCTGAGCGCCATGGACGCGAACGGAACCCTGACGGAGCGGAACTTCTCCAAGTTGCGCGCCCTGACGCAGCAACTTCTGGCCAACCACTCGGCGCCGTTCCACGCCAACGCTACCGCGCCTCAGGAGGACCTGGACGTGAACACGGATGTGTACTCCAAAGCGCTGGTCACCGTCATCTACGTGCTGCTCTTCGCGGTGGGCTGCCTGGGCAACTCCATCACGCTGTACACGCTGCTGACCAAGAAGTCGCTGCAGAACCTGCAGAGCACCGTGCACTACCACCTGGCCAGCCTGGCCGTGTCCGACCTGCTGATCCTGGTGCTGAGCATGCCCATCGAGCTCTACAACTTCATCTGGGTGCACCACCCGTGGGCGTTCGGCGAGGCCGTGTGCAAAGGCTACTACTTCCTGCGGGACGGCTGCTCGTACGCCACGGCCTTTAACATCGCGAGCCTGAGCGTGGAGCGCTACATGGCCATCTGTCACCCGTTCAAGGCGAAGAGCGCCATGTCGCGCAGCCGCACCAAGAAGCTGATCAGCGGCATGTGGGCAGCCGCCTTCCTGCTGGCCACTCCGATGCTCTTCACCATGGGCGAGCGCACAGTGGACGGAGAGCCCATATGCACCACCATCGTGTCCACGGCAACGGCGAAGAGCGTTCTGCAGGTGAGGCAGGGCTCATAACATTCTCCAGACTTATTAGAATATATCTAACTAGGATTATGGATATTTTATTGATAACTCTATTCGTGTGTTTGTAATATTAAAATGCACTGCATGACTCACTCATCTCACTTTGCACAGTCAACATGAGCGAACTAGTTTAAGAGCTGCAACCTGTTGCTTGTATTTCATGTAGAGGCTGCGGTGCTGTAAATCCAAGACGACGAGCACAATAACGATATGAAGCGCAGAGCTCGATGGAGAGGATTCAGCTCTCCCCAGGATGTTATGCCTGCTTGTATACACCGGTCAGGCATAACATTATGACCACCTCCTTGTTTCTACACTCATTGTCCATTTTATCAGCTCCACTTACTATATAGGTGCACTTTGTAGTTCTACAGTTACAGACTGTAGTCCATCTGTTTCTCTGCACACTTTGTTAGCCCCCTTTTACCCTGTTCTACAGTGGTCAGGACCCCCATGGACCCTCACAGAGCAGGTACTATTTGGGTGGCGGATCATTCTCAGCACTGCAGCAACACTGACGAGGTGGTGTGTTAGTGTGTGTTGTGCTGGTCTGAGTGGATCAGACACAGCAGTGCTGCTGGAGTTTTTAAACACTGTGTCCACTCACTGTCCACTCGATTAGACACTCCTACCTTGTCAGTCCACCTTGTAGATGTAAAGTCAGAGACGATAGCTCATCTGCTGCACAGTTTGTGTCGGTCATCCTCTAGTCCTTCATCAGTGGTCACAGGACGCTGCCCACAGGACGCTGTTGGCTCGATATTTTTGGTTGGTGGACTATTCTCAGTCCAGCAGCGACACTGAGGTGTGTAAAAACTCCTATATAGTAAGTGGAGCTGATAAAATGATCAATGAGCGTAGAAACAAGGAGGTGGTCATAATGCTATGCCTGATCGGTGTATGGGTCTATATAGAGCCTTTTTAAAAATGGTCCTGTATAGCACCACCAAAAAGGGTTCTGCTATGGTGACTACAAGGGTTCTTTAGTAAAGAGCGTAGTTCTATATAGAACCATGACCACTAAAATAACCCTTTGCATGATTAAAGGGTTATTTGCATCATGAAGGGGTTCTTCAGATTGATGGAGAATGCGTTGTATATGGTTCTATATAGAGCCTTTTTGAAATTGATCTGTATAGCACCACCAAAAAGGGTTCTGCTATCTATACACTTAAAAAAGATGATTTTTCAAAGGTTCTTTAGTAAAGAAAGTGGTCATATATAGGACCATGCGTGCTTAAAGAACATGCATGCTTAAATGGTTCCATTGTATATGGTTCTATTTAGTTCTATATATTGCTGCTGTCGTTTTTCAGTTTTTGACATAATTAAAAAAAAATACCTGTTGTCCTTTACATTGTATGTAAATTTCATGATGAATGGACTAAAAGAAACGGCCCACAATGACTGGGAAAAAAGTCTGGTTCCATTGACTTACATTAAAAGTGAAGCATGTTTTTTCCTTCTCCTGTAAAGTTACCATTTTGGACATACAAGGTTTTCTTCCGACAACTGCGATATGTATATGCTGTATATATTGGCCGTATGGTTCTATATAGCTCTATATAGCTATATACTTTTGCTACATACACCAAGAAATGTAAGTTGAATTTTTACAGGGCAGTTGCCACAATTTTGACTTTTGGGTCATGTCCAATCCTGTACATCACTGTCATTGGAACAAAACCTCGTATCTCCAGAATGGTAACTTTACACGAGAAGGAAAAAACCTACTTTACTTTACTTAAGTCATTTTGGGTTGTTTCTGTCGGTCCATTCATCATGAAATTTACACACAATGTAAAGGACAACAGGCATTTTCAAATAATGTCAAAAACTGAAAAATTTGTTTGTTTTGTTTCGACAGCAGTGATATATTCTCTGCCATCTGTTTCCCTCTTTCAGTTGAGTGATATAAGTTGGGAGCACAAATGTCAATCGACAAGATTCATTGCCAACAATTTTTTATCATCATGATGTTGATCTGTTGTTGCAGCCCAAGCACAACATATCACAAATCAAAGCCAAGCTGGGGTGATAAAAGTGTGTGTCAGGATGTTTATAAAAACAGTGAGCTGAAATTAGGCCTCATCCTTAAGAGCTGCCAGTATCACAGCCTTTTAGCTCTGGGCCGCTTATTCCAAATCGTATTAAGCAGGCAATTAGAGAAATAAGTGCATTGCTGGATTAACCTAAGTAATCCTGAATTTTTTCCAGCTGTGTGAGTCACAAATTTTACTGACCCAAACTGTGTTTTCATGTAGAACATTTATAAAAGTTTCATGCTCACTAAGTCTGCTTTATTCTTTGTCACAATTATGACTGATGGGAAACTACAGAGACGAAAGTTGCATCAGTTACTTTATTAGACCAGAGGCAGCATATTTATATAATAATGGAAAGTATATGCAGTCATTATTGGCTATGATTACTAGACAACCAGCACCAGCACCAGCACTGCTCCCAGTGGAACCCTTCTCCACCCCATTAGACCTCACACACCCACAGAACATAAACTGGAATTCATCACCATTTCCTGTGTGCAATATAATAAATACTCCATGTGCAATATTTAAAAAATATCTCTATAGCGTAAAGATTTTTTTCTATTATAATGTTTATATTGTTAACTCCTCACCATCCCATGGGTAACATAAATCAATACGTCATGTGCAAAACTATGTGAAATTTGGGTTAAATATTCCTTACAGTGTAATAATTTTAGCTTTTATTTATTTATAATCCTATATATTATGTTCATTTTTGTGAAGGATAGAGTTTAGGTTTTTATCTTATTTTTTTACTTTTAGTATTGTATATATTGTCTATAAAGTAACAAGTAACAAACTGTAAAAATCTTGTTAAGTAATTAAGGTTAATTATTTGCTTGTTAATTCTCTTCTTGTTACTTCTTTTCTTTTTTTTGAGTGCCTTGCTGTCCCTTTGCTGCTGTAACACTGGCTGTGTTTACATGCAAAGTTTTTTGCCCCTCCGATTGAATACAGTCTGATTACAGATTAAGACTGAGGTGTTTATTCTCACTCTACTCAACAATCTGGAAAACCTCTGTTTACATCCTCACTACAAGTAATCAGATACAAAATGATGCGCATGTGTAGAGAACCACTTAGTGTAGACGTTACCATGACAACCAGCATCAAGTGAGTCCAGTCAGAGTGAGACGAGCAGCAGTGAGCAGTGCTTGTGTTTTTAACTGCTTTAAAATGATGTCAGACTCAGGAAAACGTCCTTCACATGTCCTTATTAAAGAAGGCCGAGAGGAAGACGTCGTGTTCTGAGACACATAAGCTGGACGTCCGTCCCACCGCCGTCTTTTAAAGATCAGAGCATATAACTTCGTCTCCTCTGCAGACCAGTTTCTGCTCCGCCATGTTGAACGTTATATCCTTTCGCTATGGCGCGACGCACATGATCAGAACGGACGTAAACTTTCCGATAGGGAATGTAATCAGATACAGGCGTTTACACGGTTATTATTCTTCTATTCAACGGATTATTTACAGGATTACCCACCTCGATCAATCGGATAGAAATTGTATTCCGAATGGCCTCAATCGGACTAGACTATTCAGATTGAGGTGTTTACATGGACGTATTCTATTCCCGATTGAGCTATTGGTTGGATTATTAATAGGCTGCATGTAAACGTGGCTACTGAGATTTTCCCCGTTGTGGGTCTAATAAAGGATTATCTTAATTTATCTAGACCCTATTGATTAGATATGATAATTCAACGCAAATGTCCCATCAGTCACAATTGTGACTTCACATTTGCCTCTTGAGTAAGCATGATATTAATGTGGCTGTACAATTTTACTGAAAGATCAATAATAGACCCTTTAAGGACGACATATACCAAATATGGTAGTTTTATCTTATTTACAACACATTTTAATATCTTCTATTTGTACAGTTCTGCTACAGACATCATCTTTCTCAGTTGCATACTTAACATAAAAGACTCTGGTCCTATGATCAATTACACCACCTCCATAAAAATGTTCATATGAAACCAAGACAAGCTTTTACTTACAGTCTACACTTCAGCAGACAACACAGTATAAACTCTTTTAGAGCTTTACAAACTGTTAGTTTTCCTAAAACCCCATAAGACTCATGTCATAACTACACAAAACTCCTGTCATAATTGCAAATAATACTTGAGAACAATGTTGAATGCTGAAATTCAGTCAACACAGGAGGTCCCACTGAGAATGGAGTTTACTTTAAAACAGCTGTGCACTTTCAAGAAGAGCATATAGCCAAACATATCGCCGGAAGAAAACCTCGTATCTCCAAAATGGTAATTTTACAGGGGAAGGTTTTTAATTTAATGTAAGTCAATGGAACCAGACTTTTTTCCAAGTGATTTTTGGGTCATTTCTTTTGGTCCATTCTCCATGAAATTTACACACAATGTAAAGCACAACAGGTATTTTCAAATTATGTCTAAAACTGAAAAACGACAAAAATGGAGATACAAGGTTTTCTTCCGACAGCAGCGATATGCAAACAAATACCCTGTCACATGTTATTGTTGCCGGGAACTTTCTCGCACTGGCTAGATCCTGTGCTGTTAGTCTGAGTGTCAGGGTCTTGGTTAACCTTAAACGCTACGGAAAGTTCTGTTCATTTTATTCTCCGAGGTTTTAAGTGCAACATTGTACGGCAACACAAACAGATGAAATGAAAGGAGGCTGTTGCTCGCCATCATTGAAATGCAACGTACACTTTCACAGACAGTGGCACACGCCAGGCAGACTATATGGACAGATAGACTGGCAGACTGATTGGCTGCAGCTGGGCATTAGGCCACCTGAAGGTCAGGGCATAGTGGATGACTAATTGCAGGAGCTCTGGCAGGTGTTGATGGTACCTCTAACCTCAGAGAGAAAAAGCCTGTTGTGGGGCCTAATGTCGCTGGCCTGCCAGCTTGTCCATAAACACCAACA